AAAAATACCAACTTTGGATCAACTCTCAAAAACGGTGGTCCAAACATTTTTTACTGGATTCTGCGTAAAAATGGCTAAAATACTCAGTTTTTACCATTACATGGGTAGTAAGATATAACATCCCAAAAAACTCTTCGTTTTCACCCGCTAACCCAGAAACAAACGTAGCTACAAACAATTATTTTAAGCATAATTACCACCTTTATATTTTCAACGTCAAACCCCTAATTTTAAGATGTGGAAGACTGTACAAAAAATAATCCGGACTGAAATATTGAAAAGTTTCTAGATAAAAGTTTAAATTGAACGACATTAGGAGTTTTATATGTTATTTCACTTGAAAAACAACCCTTCAAAATTTGGGAATTGCTTTGTAATAGCGATGTTTCCCAAAAATTAAGTCAAACGAGAAGCAGTTACGTTTTTTTATATTTTGTAGTGCCTTTATTTATAGCGAAAGTTTCATAAGTTTTTTAAAATCACTTTTCAATCCCCTTCTCAACCTCGGATGACGTTATTTATTGATTTGTATCATTTAAATCCCTTAAAGTCGATTTTTACACAATTTCAGTTATGTCATTAAAGCAAACCAAAGTTGCCCTTATTTCGCACAATAGAAATCATGCAAATTTTCGGAAAATATACCAATAACTTCGTAAACAACGACCTGCGAAAGCCGGCCGTGTAACATAAAACGAGATAAAGCACGGAGAGAGGAAAAAAGGTCGCCCTGTCACGCATTAATCTAAATCTGAAAACTTTGAAGGGGAAAAGATCCGCAAAAAAATTATATAGGTGTACAATTTTCCCGTCGGTTTTTCCAATTTCGATAACGTCAGATTTTAAGCCGAATTAATTTGGTTTGACGTGCGGATGTACAAAAAACCAGTACCGACCTTTTTAAATGTAAGATTTTTATTACAACGAGACGCCAAAGAGCAGAGAATCCAAAAAAAAGCTCGAATACGACAGTAAAATGATAATGCCAGTAAGCGGCATAAAAATAAATTTAGGTGGCATAATAATAAAACAATTTTTTTATGTATCTACCTATACTGTATGTAAATTGGGTTATTTTTCAATGTGCCCCTTTTGTTTCAGGGTGGCAATGGTCTGATGGCTAATGCAAGATACATGTTGAATATTTAACATGTTATTGTCAAGAATTTTTTTAATCAATAAATACCGAAGCTACGTTTCGTAAAAATGAAAGATGTAAGTTACGGTGGGTGGAATTTAATAATATGAATTCCTAAGGTATTTGTTTTATTTAACATTAAAAAGAGATAAACCGATGGCACTGACAAATATACTTTGTCACTACTTTAATTTTACGCTAGATGACGATGCTGTGCTGCACTAATCTCTTCATCCTTTAGCCCTCCCTGAACTTAGACGTGTACGTTCTTTTAAATTTAATCCTCAACACTACCGAAACCCCATAGAAAACACGAAATACTTACTCAAGCAACATCCTCTACCACAATGAATTGTTGAAGAAAAATTGATACAAAGCGGCAAAGCGCAAAAGGAAAAGGGTCAAGACAATTCACCCTAAAATTCCTGGATCATTCATCCATTGGGTATGCAATTAATCACCAACTCAGACGTGGATTCAGCAATCTCGAAAACATGGTCATCCGAGTAGGGCAATGGAAATAATCATCTTGTCCTCAAAACTGCAGAATATTCTTTCAGGGAATGTATTACTTGGGGCTGGAATAATCACTTAAAAATTCTCACCACAAAGTTCACAATAAAAATGAGGGCTTCACTTCCTGAATGTTCGTCCTATTAAAAAGTCATGTTAAATGAATGTGTCATTAAAAAATTCCCTCGCTGGTTCTCAGAACAGCCCTCCAAAGAATCGCCCAACAAAAATTCGATTCGAGCAAAATTCACCTACAAAAAATTGGCTCTAAAGTAAGTTAACTACTGAAAATTCGCCTATGAAATCCTGGAAATGTTTCCTTCCGAAATAATAGCTCTCAGAAAATTCGGCCTAGAATCGTAGAATTAGTCCCCGAAATCTTCGCATCCACCGAAAGGTCATGTGAGGTGAATTTCTCACTGAAAAATTCAATCTGGAGAATCCAGAGCTATTCGCCGTCCAAAATCGCTTAAGCCTTTGGAAAATCTGATCCAGGTAAGGTCACTATGGATATTTTTTTGTTCAAAATGTCCGTGTCGGGAATAATCGCTCCTACTACTATCAACTTCTTTCAAACTTGCAAGGACTCTAGAAACGTTCGACCTCCAACACATTAAGAAAAATTCACGTCGAGCAAAATTTGCTCCATGTAAGTTCTCTTGAATATTGCAGTAATACGTAGGGGTAAGTTAAAATTGCAGTCGCTTATCGACTGCCAAGTACTGCGGGCGTTGTTATTACGAAAAAAAACAATTAAAATGATTTATTTTTAATTTTTTCTTTACGCCCAAATAATAATGTCCCCTTTTTTTGTAAAAGATCGCCACATAGACAACCTGTTACCAGTAACTAACGAAGCATTTTTTTAGTAATTGGTCAATAGAAGTCGTTGTGCATCCTTGTCTGTATGTCTGCTTACATACGTACTCTTACCAAACATTCAATTGGGATTTTAATTGCCAAAAATACCGCATTCATATAACAGACCTAGGGCGGAGACCACCGATCGTAAAAAAGAAATATTTTATTTGTAAATTTGACTCCATAGTCTAAAAAGAACAATTTTCTCAAACAAATGAAGAGTTACATAGACAATGATGGCGTATAATTAAACAAATCGACTGTAGCAACAAAAATTAGCACATGTTTAACGCGAGAACTTTTTTTAGAAGTCGAAAAACTGGCTTTTAAATAAAAGTCATATAAAAACATCCGACAAGGATAAATTACACATAATTAAGCTTACGCGAACGCGGGGTAGTTTCGCGTACACCCACAATATTTCTGGGCAACAGGTGAATTTGATCTAATAAATGTTTGCTAAACAGAGGGTCCTAAAATCGATACGATAGGGGCGCGAAAGGGATAAAAAAAAATCTGCACAGACTTTTCGGAGCGGATCAATAAAACTGCATGTCGTACATCACTCGGTCGCACACTTAAAAACATTCTTTTCGATTGTTGCAAACGACAAAAGGGGTCCACGCTGTGGATGACACGTGAAACGGCCATTGTCCTGTTTTAAAAGGAGAGGAAAATTGAATTCTGTCAAATACATCATCGGATAAGGGTTTGTTAATCGTATTAGTTCAAAGATAATGATGTTACAGTCGTATTCTCAACAGTGCGAAATGATCAAATTTTGAATATACATAAATTGGAAAGTGTGAAGAGCGAATGGGTATAATAAAATAACATTGAAAACATAAATTTGAAACACATTGCATTTATCCCCTATTTATTCTGTATATGCCTCAATATATTCGCTCGAAAGCAATACTATAGTCGTTATTGCTTTCGTGACGTTCTTTTATACATTAAACGGTAACGAGCGATCCTTTTTAGCGCATTTCCACAAAAATAAAAGAAACGCGCTATTGTGACCACTTTGTCCGTCCGCCCGTCCGTCCGTCCGCCCGCTCGTTTTGCGACGCTACTAGTTCTTTATCTTAAGAGCTATTGTTCTACTTTTTTTGCTATTTGGTTCGTTATGGCGTCAAGGCTTGCACCAAGGATGGATTTTTTTCTGCGTTTATTGCTAAAAAAATTATTGTAAAAAAACCAACAAACCAATTTTTACATGTTCCATAATTTTACACTTTTGCCGTTTATTAACCATCCTAGAGATCATTTATAATTTTGTATTGTTGTCTGCCGTCTGTCTGTTGGTCTGTCCGTCTGTTCCTTTGCCTGTCTGTCTCTCTATCTGTCCGTATGAACGATAACTTTGTTTAGAAATGTTCGATCGCTTTTACATCTCCGTTAGTTATGAACTGAATTGCATGAAATTCAATATGGCCATAGCCTTAGCCATATAATACGCAATGCCAAAAGTTGAATCGAATCGATTCAAAATTCACAGTGCCCTTTTCGCATCTCGACCATTTATAAACCGAATTGCAAACTTTTTTTCTTATAAAAGTATTTGAATGAAATTTGATACATAGGCACTTGGAATAAAGGAAAATTCAAACGAAAAAATTTGGTTTTGCGCATGCGCAGTGCCAACTTTTTTATTTATGGAAGAATTTAAATGAAATTTGATACATAGGCGTTTGGAATAAAGGAAAATCTAGCGCCAGTTTAAAAATTTTATTTTGCCCATGCGCAGTGCCAACTTTTTATATCTATGGAAGCATTTAAGTGAATTTTGATACTTTGGCGCTTGGTGTTCAAATTTAGTTAAATTTCAAATTAAAGTTAAGTGGGAGAAGTAACGCATTCCCCTTCCTTGCTATCCTTACCAGGAGATCACTTTTGGTTTCGTTGAGGCGCGTAACGCGAGCGATCCTTATAACGTCGATTTAAAATTGCGATTCTACAACGCAAGTGCTTAGAAACCCAGAAAAAGGTGTTTACCGCAGGGAGCTCCCGAAGAAAAGGAAGTCGAATACCAAACAGTAAGTGACAATTCCTTATGTTTCCTTTACACCTTTTGAACATATTGGTAGCAGAGCGTGGTTTGAAAATTCATTAGATATTTTGTCGAGAAACGGATTGGGTTTTTTCTTTTTGTAAAAAGAATATTTTCATAAAAGGTACCTACTATTTTGTTGATAACCGACTAACGATTGATTTGATTAGTAGATTTTTATTAAATTGATTATTTTGCCAGAAAAGAAATTATTTATGTTCAGATTGAGAAAACGTGAACAATTTTACTATATTTCTTTTAGATAGGGTTTGTTTATCATTAATTGGTTTTTGCAGCTCTGGTATTGATTGATTTATTAATTTACAACTTATTGATACCATATTACCGACATAGAGTATTACCGCATACCATCACCAAAGATTATATTCGTGGGTTATTATTTGTGATATCTTGCTACATTTAAGTAAATAAGAAATGTCTGCGCCTAGTGGGGAAGATAAGGCTGCATTTATCAAACTTACAGGTTATAAAGAACGCTTGTGGCGTAAACTACAAGATTGCTATGAGTTGACCAGGGATTTACCACAAAAATTAGCGCAATTTAAAGTAAGGGTTGACCAATTACATAAAGTACGCGACGATTTTGCAGAGATTTTGGATAGATTATTTATGTTGTCCAAAAAGCACAACGAATTTGCCACAGATGTCGTACAGTTAGAGTCAAATTTTGATAGCATTTATTATGAAATTTTAGCACATGCTAGTCAATATAGTAAACCGGTCAACGAATCACCATCAACATCTTCCGGTCCGTCACCTGTAAAGAAGGAATTATCTTTACGCGATATTAATTTCACGAAGTTTGACGGATCTCCAGAAAAATTTCCCGCATTCCGAGCAATGTTTGATGCTATGGTACATAATACATCTTATTCCGATATAGAAAAATTTACCATATTGATAAATCATTTAGAAAATTCGGCACTAAAGCTGGCGCAAACTGTACGCTTTTCGCCAGAAAATTATTTGGTGATTTACAATCAAATGATAAAACGATACACCAATAAGCGTATTATTGCAAATCATTACTTAAGAACGATTTTTAATTTGAAACCTTTACGTAACAATTCATACGAAAGTTTGTCTGAGTTGTGCGAATTATTACAAACAAACGTAACGGCTCTACGAGGTATGCAGATACCTAATTTAGACGATTATATATTTGTCCAATTATCTTTACAATTATTAGATAGTAAATCTAAGGAAGAATTCGAAAAAAAATATCTAGATACAGACTTTCCCACATTTAAAAATTTTATTGAGTTCTTGAGAAGCAAGTGTTCAGTGTCACAATTAGTAGGGTCAAGTTTAAACGTAGATAATACGAACGCAAATACATATAACGTTGATTACAAGATCAATAATAAAAGTTTGTACAAGAAGAAACTTACTTTGGTTTCTCAGCAAGGGAGGTGCTCGAATGAAAATAAAATATCCCCACAACCTTGCATTTTTTGCTCACAAAGCGATCATGGTAAGCTGACGAAGTGTACGAAGTTTATTTCTTTACCAATAAAAGAGCGCCATGCCTTTGTCAAAGACAAAAATTTGTGTTACGCTTGCTTATATCCCCATAGAATAGCACAATGTAGGATGAGGATAAAATGCAGTCAATGTGGCAGTTCTCGTCATAATAGTTTGTTACATGATGAGGAATTTTCTAATAAAGGGAATAGTTTAGAGGTATCTGATTCTAAAAGAGAAGTAGTTTCAAATTCAGTAGCATTATCATGCACCATGGAACAATCCTATGACACTTTATTGGGTACTGCTAGAGCAGCTATAAAAAGTAGAACAGGTGAATGGTTGCCTTGTCGACTGGTGTTGGACACCGGGTCACAATCTAATCTTATTACCATGTCCTTATCCAATCGATTAGGTTTAAAACGTAAACGAAGCCTATACGAAATAACGGGAATTGGGAATGGTGACTTAATTAAACCTCGTGGACAGGTCAATTGTGAGATAAGATCCATTTATAACTCTGAATTTATTTTTAATTTTGAGGCAACAATATTGTCACGTATAACTTCAAATTTACCAAATTTAAATTTATCTGATGATATTAAAAAGGAATTTGATTGTGTAAAGCTAGCGGATCCTGACTTTAATATTTCATCTCCTATAGATATACTGTTAGGAATCCAATCAGTTCTAGACTTAACGCCAGCAGAGCCCTCAATTATAAGAGGTACTCCCAGTGCTTATTTAACATCATTAGGTTGGGTAATAGTAGGTAACGTGCAAAAAAATGCATCAATCTCAAAATTGGTGTCACATACTAAAATGGACAAAGAACCGACAATTAACGAAATTTTGCGAGCATTTTGGGAATCTGAAGAAATAGGTCTACCTAAAGTCGTTTCACCTGAAGACCAATTTTGTGAGTCTCATTTTCAAACGCATACTAAACGAAACGATAAAGGTCAGTATATTGTACGTTTTCCATTTCGTAATGAAGGTCCCGAATTAAGCAGTAATAGGGAACTTGCTCTTAATAGATTCTACAAATTAGAATCTCGTTTTAAAAAAGATAAAAATTATTTTTGCCTTTATTCTGATAACATAAAAGATTATATTGAACAAGGCCACTTAGTTCCTAGTGCTAAGAGGTCTTCATATATCATGACTCATCATGGGGTCTTGAAACGTAACGAGGACGATGTTAAAATTAGGGTGGTTTTTAATCCTACAGAGCGAGATACACAGGGTAGTTCTCTGAACGATTGCCTATTGGCGGGGCCTAAATTACACCAAGAAATTTCCGCAGTTATAACGAGATTTAGACTTAGACCGGTAGCTGTAACCTGTGATATTCGTCAGATGTTTAGGTGCATTATTGTACATCCCGATGATAGGAAATATTTTCATATATTCTGGCGATCTAATCCTAACGAACCCATAAGGGAATGGGAGCATACAAGAGTGATATTTGGAGCTACATCATCGCCTTTTCTTGCAAATCGTACTATACAAAAACTTGTGGAAGATGAAGGCAGATATTACCCCAAAGCGGCACTAGCTTTATCTCATCAAACGTTCGTTGATGATATTCTCACGGGGGCTACGAGCAAAACGGAAGCGCTCGAGTTAAAACGTCAGCTTATAAGTCTATTAAAAGCTGGGGGTTTCGAATTGGGTAAATGGTCATCATCAGATCAGGGTATTATACAAAATTTAGAAGGGTCTTTAGAATTACCGATGGGGACCATACAATCAGCTGTAAAAGTCTTAGGAATGTTTTGGGAAACAAAAAAGGATGTTTTTCAGTATAAAATACAAGGCATAAACGAACCTGCAACGAAACGGGGTTTATTATCTAGGGTGGCACGAACGTACGATATTAACGGGTATTTGAGTCCTTTTACATTTTTGCTAAAGTCCTTAATACAACGATTATGGTTATTAAAATTAGAATGGGATGATCCCTTACCCAACGATATTATGGGGAAGTGGACAGCTATTAAATCTGAATTACACCTAATTGAGAGTTTAGCTATACCTAGATGCATTTATAAAACGGAGATTTCCTGTGCTACTTTAATAGGATTCTCGGACGCTAGTAATTTAGGGATGGCCGCAGTTTTATACTTAAGAATAAAAGCAAATGGTTTCTATTTAGTTAATTTGGTGTCTGCTAAGACTAAGGTGGCTCCATTAAAATCTTGGACGATTCCGAGACTGGAACTAGGTGCTGCGTGTCTACTGTCCAAACTATTAATTACCACAATAGAGGCTTGTAAACCGCTTATCAGCTTAACGGATTCTATTTGTTTAGTAGATTCCACTACAGTATTGGGTTGGATAAACACGCCTCCATATAAATTAAAAACCTTCATTTCAAATAGAGTGGTGCAAATTCAAGACAATGCACCTACTGCTCGTTGGAGGTATGTACCCAGTGAACTGAACCCTGCTGATCCGGCTAGTCGGGGTCTTACTCCAGCAGAATTGATATCTTGTGAACTGTGGTGGAAAGGGCCAAGTTTTCTTTTTGAAGAGGAAAGGCAATGGAATTTCAAATATAAGTTGCCAGTTCCATTAGCGGAAATTAAAGACATATCGGAAACATTATTAATAACGAAAATTGATTATAGTCCCTTTAACAAAATTTTGGATAAATTCTCGTCTCTTTTAAAGGTTCAACGTATTTTTGGATATGTCATTAGATTTTGTAAAAATTGGATAGAAAAAAGGCGTAATATATCTAAAACAAATTGGTTAGTTGGTCCCCTTAAGGCATCCGAGTATCAAAACGGCTTACTTCTAGCAATACGCATAACGCAAGTCACATATTTGTCTAACGAAATAGATTTAATAAAACGGGGTTTGGCGTGTACTAAGAAAGTAAGATTGCTTTCTCCCTTCCTTTCTGAAGAGGGTTATTTAATGGTGGGGGGGCGTTTGAGGCATTCTCAACTTTCCGTACGACAAAAGCATCCATACCTGATTCCAAGCGATAGTAGGCTGGCGACATTAATCTGTGATCACTTTCATATTTGGTCTGGTCACGGAGGGCCACGATTAGTACATTCTTTGATTATTCGCCACTTCTGGATTCCAAGCTTGAGAGTATTAATACGAAAGCGAATTTTTCGATGTTTAACATGCTACCGTTTTGCTGCGGAACCAATTCAGCCACCGATGGGGGATCTTCCTGCATATCGTTTGGATCCAGGGAGATGTTTTTCTCACACAGGGCTAGATTATGCAGGACCATTTGAGGTAAAAATTTCTAAATTAAGAAACGAACGATATCAAAAATGTTACATTGCGTTATTTATATGTATGGTTTCAAGAGCTATACATTTAGAAATTGTGACTTCTTTAACTACCGAGGCTTGTTTGTCAGCTCTAGACCGATTTACTGCTAGGCGAGGCCTTCCAGGTCATTTATATAGTGACCAGGGCTCTAACTTTAGGGGTGCAGCAAGAGAAATTTCCGAACTTACAAAATTTTTTGATGAATCAAATACTGAAATTTCTCATTATTTGTCCTCTCGTAACATTACATGGAAACATAATCCACCTTATGCACCTCATATGGGCGGATTGTGGGAAGCGGGTGTTAAATCATTTAAATATCACCTCAAACGCATAGTAGGTAACGCTAGGTTACACTTAGAGCAATTTTTGACTACCGTTGCCCGTATAGAGGCAATTTTAAATTCTAGACCGTTCTGTAACTTATCTTCCTCGCCAGATGACGACTTAGATCCTTTAACACCAGGTCATTTCTTGATTGGTGGACCATTATTGGCTCGCGTTGAAGTAAATATCACAAATATTCCCCAAAATCGTTTATCACAGTGGCAACTATCACAGCAATTGGTACAATCTTTTTGGAAACGTTGGTCTAATGAGTATATACAATCACTTCAGAAAAGACCAAAGTGGACCCAATCTTCTCCACAAATAAAAGAAGGAGATTTGGTATTATGGTATCATCCGGACGCTCCACCTACTCATTGGCCTATTGGCAGAATTATCAAATTAATATTTGGAGCGGACGGAATTGCTAGAGTTGCAAAGATTCGAACTTCTACGGGTGAAATTCAACGCCCTTTAAATAAGGTGGCGATTTTGCCACCACCTTAGAAATATATAGTTTTTTTTTTTTTTTTCTTTCTTTATTAAAATTACAGAATTAATTTATGTGTAACAAATCAATCGTTCCAGTCGGAATTTTTTTTTTTTTTTCATTAATTAACGCTTCAAATTTTTTTTGTTTAATATTTGTTTTGGCAAATATGTCATTTGGGTGGGGGGTATGTTCAAATTTAGTTAAATTTCAAATTAAAGTTAAGTGGGAGAAGTAACGCATTCCCCTTCCTTGCTATCCTTACCAGGAGATCACTTTTGGTTTCGTTGAGGCGCGTAACGCGAGCGATCCTTATAACGTCGATTTAAAATTGCGATTCTACAACGCAAGTGCTTAGAAACCCAGAAAAAGGTGTTTACCGCAGGGAGCTCCCGAAGAAAAGGAAGTCGAATACCAAACAGTAAGTGACAATTCCTTATGTTTCCTTTACACCTTTTGAACACTTGGAACAAAGAAAAATCTAACATTAGTTTCAAAATTTAGGTTTGCGCATGCGCAGTGTAACGAAGCACCCGGAATTTCTCCATTTAGAGTGCCGTTTACAAAGACCACCCTGTATGTAACGATTGGTTTGGGCTTCGTTACGCAAAAAGACCGCGATATTTTTGTAACCACCGAAGGAAGTTGTCCTCCCGAAGATGAGGGACAATTAATATTCTTTGGTTTCAGCGCCGTTAATTATTTATAAGATGTTTTAGATTCCCATAATAAGTAAAATCAAGGATAGAACGAGTTCAGATTGAGTTGTTTACAAGTTTTGCAGTCCCGTCCGTATCCCTGCATCTTGCGATAAGAGTGTTAAAGCGATAGCGCCGTTTGCGAAGAAAAAGTCCAAGGGAGCTAGTTACAGATGGGAGTGATGAGTACTTAGGTTTGATTACGCTTAATTAGGTAAGCGCTGTTAATTAATGCCATGTTAATGGGCAGTAGTAAACCTTGTCAGAAACCGTCGAGAGAGGTGTCCACAGAGGCGCTCTAATTTTTCTAGTTGTTTGCAAGTTGTCCCAGATTTTTAAGATAATCACAGAAGCCGCAATTAATTAAAAACCGAATTATTTTCTACATCGCTCGGTGCGAGCACTGCGAGGCTTTGGAAATTCCATGTTCCACTTCTACCAAAATTGGTTTCCTTTAAAAGGAAAACGCTCAATTTGGGAGGGATCTTTTCTGCTTCATACTTTCGAGTTGTAAGTACGCCTTTTGATTTTTCTAATTTGCGAAACCTTATCATTCCGAATCCACCGAAACCCTTTTGCTTTACCGTTTTACCGTTTGAGCGACCGTAAGTCAAATCGTTGTCCTTTCCTTTTCACGACCGTTTTGAGTTTCCCTTTTTGCACTACCGTAACTTTTGCTACCGTTCCGCTAAGCTTCATTACCGCCTTACGCTTACCGTATTTTCTATCGATAGTGTTATCACCGTTTGGCTGAATTTATTACCACCGTTGATTACAAAGGTAAGCGCTTAATTTTCATTTACGTTGATTAAGGGGGGGAAGTATATTCTGTTCTCCTTGCTTTTCCGCTTTTCTTTCCCCTAGACACCGCTAATTGATTTGTGCTTTATTGCTTTATTCCCTTTAGGAAATTTACCGTCCGGGCCGTCGGCCATATTTTGTTTTAGGTAAGCCGGAAGTGACCGCCGCCATTTTGTGGTGGACTCTTACCGATCCCTGGTGTATTCGGTTCTCCACTAGAGGATACCCGGAGGCTTTCCACCCCATCCGAAGAGACCGCCCCTTTTTCCAAGACTTCGGGGGAGCAGAGAGAAGTCTTGGTGGCGCCCGAGTGACCGACCGACCGACCGCCTACTGTACGATATTTGAATTGTACAATTATACTATTGTTCGACAATTAAATCAACCTGAATTAATTAATTAATTAATTGCACGAGCTAAGGGGGAAGTTCGTCGCAGCAGTTCCAACTTTCTTATTTAGAAAAGCATTGAAATGAAATTCTTCTTATAAACTGAAATTGAAATAGCATGTCAAAAATGGATTGCTCATGTGAAACGCTATCTTTCATATTTGTGGGCGGATTTTTACGATTTTAACAGAAGTTGCATCTTACAAATGGGAAATGAATGCAAGTGGAAATGCGCTTTATGTAAATCGTTTACGATTACTTTTTAACTTGTTAAATTCTGCCACAGAAATTTAACATTTGTCTCTGTTAACGACATAAACAAACCAAGTACGACAACGTTTAGTTTGTTCTTGGTGTGAAACATATTGTCTTCTATTATTTGAGTCCGGTCCTTATTCAAAATCTTTTTTTTTCTATATCTCGGAAATTATTCATTAAGACAAGGGATGCTGTGAGATAGTGGAGGAGATTGGAGGGAGTGGTTGGAAAATACAGACTCGAATAAAGGAATTAAGGAGCAGATAAGCTGATTGAGTTTTGCAAAGAAAATAATTTAGATTGTTACGAACACATGGTTCGACAACTCTAAAAGAAAACGCTACACCTGGAAAGCACCAGGAGATCTATTTACGAAATATAGATTTCATATTGGTAAAGTAGACATAAGGCAAAACGTTTGCGGGTTACCAGGAGATCATATATTCCTAGACCACATTCTCTTAGCCGCAGAATTAAAAACCGAAAAGGGGTGAGGAAAGCTGCTGATAATGGAAAATTGAATTTGGAAAAGTTGAAAGAATTGAACAAGGATGAAATAGGATGTCAAATGGAAAGAGAAATAAAAGCGTGGGACGGAACACCAAGGAATGAAGAAAGTGTGGAGAAACATTGGGAGAGGATAAAGGAAGATGTAATAAAAATGGCAAAGAGTGCATCGGATTCAGCAAGAAAGAATAAAGAAACCTTGGATAACAACAAAAATGATAAAGAAGATGGAGAAAAGGAGGAAAGCTAAACATTTGAGGACAGACGAAGGAAAAAGATTGTACAGAAAACTTAAGACTGAACTAAGCATAGAAACGACTAAGGCAAGAACCGCACGGTTTGAAAAGGAATGTAGGGTAATCGAAGAACTGAAGAAATTAGGCAAACGTGGGTTTTTTATTTAAATGTAATTGAAATGGACTGTAATTAAAATTAGCTTTTGCTTCTCTGTTTTTGTTTACACACTTATTATTCAAAAATATTGTTTTTTTAATCTAGCACTAGTACAGATTGCACTTAAACAAGTATTAAGTAGAATTGGAAAGGATAAATGTATGTTAAAGATCATAAAGCGTAGTAAAATAAACTGGATTGGACATGTACTAAGAAAGAACTGTTTGTTGAAGGAAATAATCGAGAGAACTGTTCAGGGAGAAAAGAAAAGAGGAAGAAGAACAAGGAAATTGGTTGACGACCTGCAGGAGGGAGAAGAAAGGCGGAGAAGGAAGGAAGAGACTAATTATTTTTATGAAATTTTCTGTCAGCAAAAGGTCCATACGCTAATTTTGGCTTAGACATGTCAATGTCTGTGAGTGTGTCTTTTATGTAACTGCATCTTTTACAACACATCCACGACTCACGAGTATGTAATATTCTACATTATAAGCATAAAATAAAAAAAAAAAAAATAATCATAAACATACCTTAATCGAATGACTCCATTTAAACAATAAAATGTATAAATTTCTTCTAACGCTCTCTGAGAACTGAAAAAAAAATAAATTGATTAGTTTTCCGAATATTTTGTTGAATACGGGAAGAAGACGCGCGCCCTTATAATCGAATGAAAATAATGTTTCATGTTTCAATCAAAAATTGTTAGTGCACGCAATGTACGCGCATCACGTGCGTTTCTCTTAGGTGTAACTGATCAAATCTCGTATCTTATAAATAATGTTAGCACGTAGCGGGATAGCACTACTTATTGGAATATAAATTTTGTCTTCTGCATCTTTAGATCAATCCTGTCGTTGATATTTCGCCCACGTCGCCGTAAAGGTTGTACTTTCAGCGAAACCTCGCAAATAAACAAAAATGTACACCTAAAGAAAAAGTTCGGGTACTGACAATGCCGCCAGACTATTTTTATTTTATTTATAATCCCGTCACATTGTATTTTTAGCAGGAAAGTTTTGGGGTAATTTTAATGTTGCCTATTCTGTTTGTATTTGGGATGCTGAACCCGAACATTTCGTGACGCAACAATAAAAAAATCGCCAAAATTTCGATATTCATCCATCTTCAGGAATTAAAAGAAAAATATTTTCACAAGTACATTGTATTGTATTGTACAAAAAATAGCTTAGACTTTGAAAAAAGGTGGAATTCGCGCGATAAGTTTTGCACGATGGTCGCGGTTGCGGAGACATCACAAATTTCAGATCCTAATAAAAGTTCAGTTTTCAGTAATTTTAAAGATAGTGTCAAAATTGCATAATGAAGTGACCAAACATTAAATTACAACTGTAATTGAAAAAAACCTATGGTTTTAAGTGCACTTTTATTATTATTTGGTATCATTGTAAAAAGAATCTCAAGCTCTTTAAGAATATTGCAGAAAAAAGTAATCGTTCTATTCAAAAAAAAATATTTTAGTTTCTGTTTCTTTTTGTTTTTTTTTTACACTTTTTTCCTATCTCCAATAATATAAGAAATATCAATCACACTGTATATTTATAAAAGTCTTCAAATTACCATTTTGATATCCGTCTGTGCTGTTTAAATCTAATAAATACAAATGCACTAAATATCCTTAGTACACAAATGTACCCCGAAGTTGCGGTGTTTCTAACCATATCGCACTCCGCCTAGCAGGTATTAACTACAATTGAATTTGGAACAGTTCGATGTGTCCCTCGACTGCAGAGACAGGGTTGAGTAATTCCATTGAGATACACTAACTCGATTTGCATCTTACAGAAACGCCAACTGTTGATTTTAATATCTTTTGTAAACGTTAATTTGGGGAATTTCCCCAAGGGACCGCAAGGCGTTGCATTAGTATCGATTCTGAGGTTGTTTGGGGCGCTTTACTAATTACCCTTGTCCCTGTACTATCTTTAACTTGTTGTCATAATGGATGCACTCAAAATGTAATTAACATTATGCATCGGAAGCTTTAATTCAAAAGCAGCAACAAACGCAGGCGCCGTTTTTTGCTAATCATGTAAAAGATAAAGGTTGGCTTAGTATTCGCGTTGAGCTTTAATTAAACAATCGAAAATGTGTTGCATGTTATGCATAATTCAATTTTTAGATCTGTTGTCATTTCAAAAAGAGATTATTTTCTATGCTACCTGAGCTATAGTCGGAGAAGAGAAGAATATGGGAGTGCAGGATAATAAGATCAGGGAATTAGAATGGTGCAATGTGCTGACATGCTAACATTTTGAAATGTGCTGCAACCAATGTTGCATTTTGAATTATTCTTGGGTGCATGTCTTACGTCTAATTTGGACAATGTTGCCAGTTTTAAAATGTTGCTAGAAAAAACTGCATCACATCTTGTAAACCAAAACTTCAAACCTTGAAAGTTGAAATATGAACAATAAATATTTCAAGTTGCATTTCTAAAAACATATACAAACTAAAATGCGCGATAGATCTGTTCCAACTTGAAATTTGAAGTTGTAAAATTAGAGGATTAAAGGGCGTATACAACATATTCTGAACTAAAAGTTCAATTGCACATCAGAAATTTCAAACATTACTTAATGGTGCACTTAAAATTTAAAGCTTGATGGAGGTTATAGAGTGAAGAAGCCATAAACAAGTCATGACTTTATTTTAACAGGGCACAGAAGAATTGTAAATTGCGAGGTAAATTGTAAAAGGCACTTCAAGAGTGTTGATTTAAATTTCAATTGACAACTACTCCTTCAGTTACAACACACATACAGGGTGAGTTTTTTTTCATTTTAAGCATTAGGATCTCGGCAACTGTAAGACATAGAGATTCGGTTAAAAGAGGAAAGAGTTGTAGTTTTAAGAGCTTATTCAAGATATGCTTTTGTTTTTTGAAAAGCGAAAAACAGATTTAGTGATTTTTCATTTAACTGTTGTAGAATCGTTAGAATAAGAAATACAGAAATATGCAAAGAACAAAAATTGTAGATATTTTTCCGCTTAATAAGATACATTTATTAATATTTATTCTTCTTTTATAATTTTCGAGTTACAACGCAAACTTACATTTTTTTAAATGGTAATCATAGTTGGCTGTGACATTTTTAAAAAGTTCATTTTTTAATATTATGTAGAATTGGAGAGGATAAATGTATGTTAAAGATCATAAAGCGAAGAAAAATGAACTAGATAGTAGATTGGACATGTACTAAGAAAGAGCTGTTTGTTGATAATCTAGGCGATAAAGACATCTAACTGGATATTTTGAGGTGGAAAATAAAAAAATGGTGGAATATGTTCAGTTAGGTGTCAGAAACAACATATTAAAAATCCCACCCCCCAGACCCTGTGCTAAAGGCTCCAGCCACCCCACCATCCCCCAAAAACCGTGTTTTCGCTCTTTTTGGCTGATATCTCGCGATCTATGAGGTCTATATGAAATATTTTTAGCTGAAAATATTTCTCGGGAAATTTTACAAGGTAGATACTCAGAAGTTAGCCTAGGTGGTACCTCTTAGCTAGGAAATTCATAAAAGCGGCGAAAATCATCAATTTTCGTGTCTTTGCGGTTTTTTGCAAATATATCGCGACCTTTAGGGCTAGATGAAATATGTTTAGCTGAAAATGCTCTTCGTGCAATTTCATACGAGATAGGTAACTGAAGAGTTGGCGTAAAGTCACCTTTCACCTTCAACTTTCATGTGTGAGGAAATATTCATTGTAAAACAAAGTATTTCTATGTACCATTTATTCACGTAAAAACAGTATTTTCATATTAAAATATTCACACATTCATTTATACCTCAACGTAATCATTATCCTCTGCAGATTCCACTTCTTCAGGCTCTTCGACGTCCTCTAGTGCTAGTGGGTCCCAATACCACTAGAGGACGTCGAAGACCCTGAAGAAGTGGAATCCGCATCTAGTCTATAACTTTTGATTGAGAAGTCTGATCGAAGAAGTACGAATTGATTTGGTTAAGTATAAGGATAATGATTACGTTGAGGTATAAATGAATGTGTGAATATTTTAATATGAAAGTACTGTTTTTACGTGAATAAATGGTACATAGAAATACTTTGTTTTACAATGAATATTTCCTCACACATGAAAGTTGAAGGTGAAAGGTGACTTTACGCCAACTCTTCAGTTACCTATCTCGTATGAAATTGCACGAAGAGCATTTTCAGCTAAAAATATTTCATCTAGCCCTAAAGGTCGCGATATATTTGCAAAAAGCCACGAAAATTGATGATTTTCGCCGCTTTTATGAATTTCCTAGGCTAAGAGGTACACCTAGGCTAACTTCTGAGTATCTACCTTGTATGAAATTTCCCGAGAAATATTTTCAGCTAAAAATATTTCATATAGACCTCATAGATCGCGAGATATCAGCCAAAAAGAACGAAAACACGGTTTTTGGGGGATGGTAGGGTGGCTGGAGCCGTTAGCACAGGGTCTGGAGGGTGGGATTTTTAATGTTGTTTTTGACACCTAACTTAACATATTCCACCATTTTTTTCTTTTCCACCTCAAAATGTCCAGTTTGCCAATTTTACAGTCTCTATCGCCTTAGACTATGAAGGAAGTAATCGAGGGAACTGTTCAGGAAGAAGGAAAAGGGGAAGAAAAAGAAGGGATTGGTTGACGACCTGAAGGAGGAAGAAGAAGGATATGAAGGTGAGCGGAGGAGAGCCATCAGGGACATGCATTCGCAGAACCCTAATGATGATAAATTTCGTTTGAAAATGTGATAATTATAAATATTCAGTGCAAATTCAATTACTTCTATTATAGTGTAACTTACACATAATTACGTGTGCGTGCTACTGGTGTAAACAAAATTTTTATTCATGAATCTTTAATTACTACGAATCGCATTGTTCATAAAACAATAATTATCATAAATATACACAGCGTGCTAAGAAGTTCAATGCATACTTTTGTTTCCTATTATTATCAAATGATCACGTAATTAGGAGTACAATTTTGTAAAAGCTTTGTCTCACGGTAGTAAAATGGCCATTTTCGATGTGTATAATGCATTAATGTAAAACCTAACGCAAACTCTTGCATAAGTTTGCAGTTTGGCTAATGACTTTATAAAGAAGAAAATTGAAAAATATCACGGTGCGTGGAGAGACGTCTACAAAATCTTCCAATTTGTGAAACCCATAACCGTACATAGATTGGCATTGATTGCCAAGTGGCCACCCTGGAACGTTTCTAGACACTCGATCGTAACATCAGGTGCGAATTTTAATCGCCTTACAAATGGGGTCAGTTGTGGTTAATCTGGAGCATTTTCCCTTAATGGATTTCGGTAGGCGTACTTCCGTATCGATTGGTCTCGAATTAACCTTGTCCCCTTTATAACAAAACAATGTATTCATACGCACTTTACTTTGAAAAAAAAATTCCGTGTTTAGTGGTTTTCGATGTTTCGTGTGTCTTATAATTACTGAATTAGCCAATAAAGATCCAGAAATCGGTAACCAGAGAGCCACGAACGAAAAAACTCTTATTTTATTTTCGTTTCGTACAATGTACGCCATGGAGCACTATTTAATGGCTCCGTG